CCACCAGTAACCACTTAGGAGTCATGCTTTTTGCTCCAAGTTGCAGCTCAGAGAACTAAACCAGATGGCAGCTGTCAGCACAGTGAGTTCCCTCAGGCCAAATCCAAGGCCTGAAGACTCTCCACCAGCTGGCTCACAGCCCAGCCCTCTGACCTGCAGCCCTGCCACCCTCCCCCGAACCCATCCTCCGAGAAACACACCTGTGGATGTTATGCCTCCGCCTCCAGTGGGCCTTCCCTTCAATATGTGTCTTACAGTTGGGTGGTTCTCGTTTCTCCCAGTTTAACTTAAGGTGGAGGAGTTGCCTTGGGCAACAGTGATGTCACCTGTGATGTGCTTCCATTCCGCTGATGTCATGGGTTGGGCCACATGAATGAAGGGGGAATGTGCTTCCTACAGGAAAATGTCACGGGACCCAAACTGCTCAGGAGGATCTTGTACACCTCCTGGGCTCCACAAATGATCCTCTTCCTTCCCAGAAAACCTGCTCATCCTTCCTTCCCCGCTGGGTGCCTGTTCCGGCCATGCCTCAAACCCGAATTTCCCTCTCACAGTGTCGGTCGAAAAGTCTGAACGGACAGCTTTGCCCTTGGCTCTGAGTGAACTTATGCAAGAGCCCTGATGGTCTCCTTCTCACCACATGGGGTAGTCTCGGTCCCTGTGGCCTTGCCCTTAGCCCAGGCCTTAGAGGCAGCAGTGGCACTAATGGGGAAGCCAGGGTCCCCATGTGGCAGAGAATGCAGATCCTTGATTGACCTCTACTGTTTTTAAGAGCCCATCTGCACCAGGCACTGTGCTGAGTGCATTCCAAGCAGGCCCTATGAGGAGTCATCCTAATTTTGCATATAGCATTTACCCCTGTGGCCTGAAATTTTACAGTAATTATTTAACTTATGCAAAAACAACTCAATGTAGCTGGGAGCTAATGCTTATAAAGCCCTAAAAGAACTAAGTAAAACAAAACAAAACAAAAGAGGACAGGGAGAAACCCTACTGGTAAATACTGCCCTTGAAGCACTGGCCAAGGAGGGACACACAGCATACAAGAGTACTGGTCTACCTGGCAGGTCGGTCAGTCTTGGTCGGTCTCTGTCTGTCTGTTTGTCTGTCTCTCTCTCTCTCTCCCCACCCCAACTCTCCCTCTCTCTCCTTCCTTCCCTCCCTCCCTCCCTCTCTCTCTGTTGGTGAGGGGGCCACAGAAGGGAACAGACCCCATGCATGGTATTGGACCATCACTCCCGTCCTCCTTCCCCTACCCTGATCTGAATCCAGCTTTGCCAAGCACAGGTTGCCTTCTGATCTTGGGTTTCCCACATGGCTTGCCAGGATGCAAGAAGCAGGTATCATCTAGGTTTCATCACGGTCACAAAAGTCTCCCTTTTCTCTCAAATTCATACACTAGTAATCTTATTTGTACACCCACTTCCGGGAGTTCTCTCGAGATGACTCAGTAGCCTATGCCCAAACTATTCTGAAAACTGTGAAGATAGAGTTTCTGAGTGGGCACAGCCAAAGGCCAGCCCCTGGGACAGGTGACATAATGCAGGTAAACGCCACCCTTCCGGGCAATCTGCTGGGCACCAGCCGACCCTTTCCAGAAGACATGATGACTTTCTCATTGGCTGAGAGGCCTATTTTGTTTAAAAATACTACCTATGGACACCATGTAGTAAAATGCCGTTTCAGCTCATGAAGCGCTAAAGTGCACAGTGTGGAAAATAAGTGATCATATATATGGAGCCGTGAAATGGAGTTTGGAAAGGCTTCCCGGACGAGCTCGGGGCGGGTGTATGCAGGTGAACAGCACAGGACAGGGATGGGGCTGTGGGGTTGCAAGCGTCAGGACAGCCTGTCCGGATACTTCTTCCGTTGTCCACTCCTGCGGGCGTTCTCTGCCGAGGTCAGAGGCCCTGCATGGCTCTTTTCCTCCGCACCACGCCCTGGTAGCACTTACTCATCACCTTCATGCCAGGCCCTAAACTGGATTTGCCACCTCACATGCCCAGTGATGAAGAAGGAAAGCCATCTGAGGCTTGGGCCAGGCCTCCTATCAGCCACCAGGGCCAGGCCTGCCTCTTTCTTTCCTTTCTTCTAGTTGCCACGTGAGTTTTCCATCTTCCTCTCTCTGACGTGAGAGCGGGTATGACTTCATTTGACACAAAAATAAAAGAGCAACCTCTCTCCTCTCTTTCCCACAAGGGCCCCCAAACTAACTAGCTTTTGAAGCTTAACCTACTTCTTGCTCTGTGAATGCTCAGTGACTGGGGCTCAGTCTCTAGGCTTCTGAACACTTTACTTCTCTGTGCCTCAGTTTCCTCAACTATGAGATGGGGATATCGATACCTATGTCACTGAGCGACCGTGAAGACTGAATGAATTAATACAGGCAAAGTGGTTTTGGAGAAAAAAAAAAAGCCTGGCAAATGTTAAGCCCTCAGTAATTGCTGGTTATCAAGAATTCAACTGCTGTGTATGGTTGTACGTGGTGTACTGCTCAAGAACAGCGGGCTCGCCTCGGGGGGTGGTGAGGATGAATCCAGCTCACGTGCAGCTTGCCCAGCTATGTGCCTTGGCTCTGTCCACCCAGATGAGGCCTCTTTTTCTAAATGGTACCAGGATGCCAACCTCTTACTGAGAGGAAGCGCTTTATTCTAATTCACACAAAGGATGGAACAGGCTAGCAGCAGCCTGGGAAGTTATTATTATCAGCTTTCAGCTCTCATGGCTATGTCCTCCTCCCTGCGCAGCAAGACTAGATTAGTCCCAGCCACAAGTAAGGTCCGGCTTCTCAGCTGCCCATTATACCTGGAGCACTAGCCCCTCCCTTAGGCTGCTTATCGGGTAAAGCCTTCCCCAGGAACCCCCCCTCACTGGGGTTGCCCTACTACCTCATCCCAATTGAGGGGAGGCTCCACCCCAAACACAGAGCCGCAGAGTCTTGGACTCTGAAGGATCATCTCCTTTGTAAATGTCGATGGCCATGTGTCTGCTGACAGTGATGGTGGTGCGTTACGTACAGAGGAGCCCCACGGTCAGCAGGTTCCTCCTTATTCCTGGGTGAGCAGGATCTTTCTCCTGCTTCTTGCACCCAGTGAGTCTCTGAGGCCAGACAGAGCAAGTCTTCTCCTTCTCTCAAGTGACCAAGTTGGAGATTCCTGAAGGCCACAGCCCCGTTCCCCTAGGCTTCTCATCCCTGGGGGAAATACTGCCATTTCATTCCCTTATCCCTCACAAGAAGCACTTTTCAGATCCTCCATGACATTCCCTCCCCTCCTCTGCGGACAAGTGAGAACAGCGCTGTGCACACCAGCCTCCCTCGCAGACTGCACCCTCTCCTTCATACAGAGCCCCCCATCTTCCTTCTTTTTATTCACCCTGGAGGGTCCAGGAAAGAAAAAAATACAAAACCAGGTTCCTCCCAGATGATACCTTCTCAGGTGAGCAATTTTGCCAGAAGCCTCTACCAGAAGTTTCTCCCCATTCTTGCCCTCAGATAAAAAAGTTCACTCACACACCCTTTTCTTTGTTTCCCTTATGGGTGCAGCAGGACGGCGCTGCAGGAGCCCAGGAAGCCTTCTTGGTAAGGTAACAACTTCTGGGACAATGGCATCAGGTTAAAAGTTCAGACCCTTGCCTCCAGAAAGCCAGAGCTTGAAACTGCTGCATCTTTGAAAATTATGGAGCTAGAGGATAGCACTTGAAACCAAAGCCTTTTCCTTGGAGAGTCAGTATAACCACTGTGTGGTTACCCACAAGTGGAAAGTATGAGGGCAGGATGGCCTGGAGCAGCAGCAGCACACAGGGAATTAAAACACAATGAAAGCCACTTAGGCACTTTGGCTGGAAGGAGGACTCAAAAGCACAGCCTATTATGTCATTAATAAAAAGGTGATGGGCAGCAATTCTACCTGTTGACCTGCCATTTTCAAGGCTAACTTGGACCTGTGAGTGCACCCAGCACAGATTAGCTTCTCCTGGCAGCCTTTCTGAGGTCCAACTGGTTTGTAAAAGGGAAGGGCCCTGGGTCAAATCCAAAAGAGGAACCAAAAAACCAGAATAAGACTCTGCAACTGATTTAGATCCAAAAGGCCTGGGTCCAGGATCCCCCAGTGTGGTGCTCTTCTAGCTCTGAAGTGGGGTGAGGAGATGGTTCTCATTCCAGGCTGAGGAGCAAAAGACAGTGTGGTCCCTGAGAGGTTCAGTAAAATATTTTCCCTTCCTGGGCGGCAGCATTTTTTGTTTTGAAAGAGGAGTATTTTTGGATGGGAAGCCCAGCCCTAGGGTTTCTGAGTCCCTCTCTACTCGGCAGCCAGGAAGGCAGAAACACTGGGAAGGGGTCGGGGATAGTTTAGGGGTCAGGTGGCAGAGGCTAACTGCAGCCCCAAGAGAAAGTTCCGCACACGTGGGGTCTCCTCTACTAATAGCTCGGAAAGAGGAAGCGGCGGGGGCCTCATCTGGCCCCAGGAACCTAGTAGGTTCATTAGGTTAAACCGAGAAAAAAACAGGCTTCACACCTACTCCCTCCTTCCAGGAGGGGAAGGAAGGAGGGTAAAGAGCTGGCTAAGGAGCGGGGCGACCCGACCAGTCTTTCTGCCTTAGCCCTCTGCTCAGACCATCGAAAGTAACGGATCGTCAGGGCCGCTGAGACAACAACGTGGTCTCGCTTCCGGCGCCGCGGCTCGGGGCGCCCGGAGGAGGAGCTGCCCGCTGCGCTGGGGCTGCAGCAAAGCGCCGCGGCTGTCCGCGGCCCGGGAGAGGCTGGGGTGCAAGTCCCCGCGTGGCGCGAGGAGGGACAGGGAACCGCAGAGGACAGGCTCCCTGCCTTTGCTCGGGCGCCGTAACAGGATCCCCCAAGTCAGCCCCAATCTGGGGGGCCGAGCGGGCATCCCGCTCCAATCCGCCATCTCGGGTGCAGCTCCCCCTGACCCCTCTTCATCTTTCCAACACACGAGATGCTCAGGGAGGACGCAGAGCCTCGCGGCTGCGGGCCCGGGACTTACGTTTAGCCTTGGTCCGTGCTCCCTGGTGCGAGAAGGACCGCGCGAGCCCCGGCTGAGCACGCGGGTCCCGGGCGCCCCGAATCAGCTGTCTGGCGGTGATTGCGGCGGAGCGTCCCGCCTGGCAATTAGAGGGACGGGGGCAGCGATACCCCGACCCGCTCCCGCCTTCTGGCCTCCATCGGCTGGGCTCTAAAGGGCTTTGGAGTTACTCATTTCCTGGATGTCAAAGAAACTTTTCCTCCTTATAAGAACAAAACACCCGCCTCTACTCGCGTCCGCCGAGGCTCCTTAAGGTGGACCGTGAGACTTAGGGAGGGTCTGCACCCAGCGTCCGCCGCAGAGATCTTCCCATCGGCCACCCCAGAAACTCCAAAGGGGACAACAGAGCCGGAGGGTGATTGGGCGAGACGGGATTTGGCTACTGGAGTAACCTGGGGCGAATGGACGGGGAGTCAGGGAGGACGCCCTTAAAAGTCGGTCCCGGCGCGCGGGACAGAAGGGGTTAAAGCACTGCACGCCTCCGGAGCGTTTTCCGCGGCGCGTTTTACAAGCGGTGGAATTTCCAGAGGCCAAGTGTTTTGTCCTCTGGAGGAAAATATAAATCGAGACACAACGCCAGCCCATTACTCTTTTGCGGCGTGAATGGATTAAAATAACTCACCAGGTTTTATGATAAATGAATGCATCGTGGCCTTTTCCTGAGTAACCAGACACAAAGGAGAATGATGACTAAATGCTTTTATCTGTAGAGGGCGCTTTAGCGTCCAAAGCCTGTTCAAGGTTGGGATGTTCGTTAGAGCCAGATTTTAGACAGGAGCGAACTGAGGCCAGGAGGGGACAGCAGCACCCTGGTCATTCTTGATGGGTTATGAAATCCATAACCTATTATCTTTTCTTTGTGACCTGCCCAAATTCCACAGCCACTAGAAGTGGCTGGGAAGGGCTTGAATAAATCGTACGTAAGTGGCTTTGCGGCTTTCAAAACGCCAGTGACAGTGCCTTGGGGGAAATCATGAGAACACACTGTCCGAATGATTATCACCATTGCCACTGATGTTTGGTGTTAGATCACCTTCTTCCTCTCCTCGGCAAGCCAGCCAAATAGCTTTAACACTCGCCTGGAAGACATTAGGCTGAGTCTGAAAGATAAACAGGCAATGAGAACAAGTTCTAAAAATAGAACCCCTGGCCCTTGGCCCAGGTTACTCTTGTTTTCAAGCGTTTGCTGCTGCTCACAGCTCTTTCCTTACACAAGGACAGTTATGATAGAGTTTTGGGGGCTGTTGGGGAGAGTTGGGGAATGGGGAGATCTGGGGAAACATTCTTGAACGGTCTGCGTATTTCTAAAATGTCTGCAAGTTGGATGGTGGGGTGTCACCCACCCAAAGCAGGTGAGGGAAATTCCAGGGAGGAGGGGACTGATAACCACTAGGCTTCCATAAAATCCTTAGGGTAAGAATTAAGGGTTATTCATGGTGGAATGCCAAGGTTAACGTCTGAAAGCCTTCTGGTATCGTCATCCAGTATGCAAAGCTGTTTTAGCATTTTCTAACCAGCTGTGTATATTTATTTATTCAAGCAGCATTTATTAAATTTGTTTTTCTTTTCATTCTTTGTGACCTGCTGGTCACCTTTATCTCTCCTCTGTTCTTGGCACTTGGTCCACTGTCCTAACTGGGCACCTATGCCGTTCCTGAACTGGCCTCTACTTATCTCACCAACTGCATATCTCATTCCATTTTCCACACCAAACCTCTTGCAGTTCTTGGAACTTGTGCTTCTCAGAATGTGATATGAGGTTTGTTTTTCACTCCCTTGGATGTTCACATGGGCTCTATCTCCTGCCTGCAGCCTTCACCCCACCTCTTCCTTCAACCTGTCACCCCTGCTAATGCACACACACTTTTTCTGCCTGGCTGATGTGTGCTCAGTCTTAAGGTCTCTGAAGAGTCGATTTCTCCTCTAGGAAGTCTTCCTCAAACCTCCATGCCTGGGTTGCTCATCCTCCCCTCCCATTTAGTTTCCATAGCAACTTGTGCTTATTTAGAAAGTGTTTTTAAAAGACAGGAAAATACAAAGATTAAACTTCTGGGAACATTAGAGGCCAAAAAATCAGGGAACCTCTGCTTCAAACACAGAAATGCTGGGGGAAAAAAAGAAAAACCATATCAACAATTGAAAGAAAGAGGGATCAGTAGGTGTGAGACAGGAAGAAGGAACTCAAAGGCAAATAGTGATATTTGACATGAACATAAGCACAAATGGCCAAGGACTGGGGCTGGAACCTACTCAAGCCATATGTTCTACAAAGGCAGAAATCTGGACTTGAGACCCCTGCCTAAAGCTGACACCCTGGGAAGGATATTAATGTCTGGATAACAGAGGAAGAAAGTCTCCCACTCGTCCAGGGCCACAGCAAGGAAGACTGTGCTTTGTCTGGGGACCATGGATGAATTAAAAAGTGTCTGCTATAGAAATTGAAACCACTAGGCTTCCTGTGCCATGCTTTGGTGTGCGGTCCCAGTTTATACTACCCATGTGGTGAGGTGAATCCTGAACTCAAGAAAGAATATAAAGGCTGGTTCCAAAGTGATGAATCCCCTTGGTCCTGTCAGAGCAAATGCAAAACACAGCTGTTTATTCTGCTCTCTGACAGATAGAACAACTCCCACTGAAGATGAACTTACAATAAGGAATTATAAACCCAAATAGGAAATGAACCACCTGAGGGACAGGATCAGTAAAAAGCAGGAGAATTAGCCCCTGAAGAACCTGAGACAATAGAACAGTTTGAAAAGACCATAAAATAGTTATGTTCAACATAATTACAGAGACAAAATGATAGGCCATAGCACTAAGACAAAAGAATAGGCAAATTTGAAAAATTACAAATACAATATGTAGAAGTAAAAAGTTTAGTCATTTGCATAAAAAAGCCCTGAATGGTTGGAATTCTTTTTTTCTTAAGTCAGTCATAATATATTAGTCAAAATTCCAATAAAATGATTCATTAAAAAGGGGAAAATAAAGAAAAATAACATACTAATCTCATTTATGAATACTGTTTCAGAAATCTTAAATAATTAACACAGAATCCCAGCTGCACATCAAAAGAATATTATATCACAAATAGATCAAAAAAGAAAAATGGAAAGATCATTATCATACATGCTTAAAAGCCATTAGACAAAATTCAGCATCTAAATATAGATAAACACTTCTGCAGTATGACAAAAGAAGAGTGAAGTTCAGCCCAAAGCCAGTATCGAGCTTAATGGGGTAACAGTAAAAACCTTTACATTAAAATCAGTGCAGAAACATCCTCCTTCACCTGCCTCCTCTTTGTTAGATTTGTCGATCAGGAATGTGTTAAGTTGCAAGTACTAGAACACTTAACTATAATTTTATGCATGTCTAAGACTACAAAAGATTAAACAAATAGGACCTTATTTTTCGCAAACGAGAAGTCTGTATATAGGTTGCTTTGGTTCAATGTCTTCATTGTTTCAGGGCTGGTCAAAAGTTGTGAACATTTATGTTTTGCTATTTATTGCAAAATTGTCCTCCAAAGAAGTTTCACCGATTTGGACTCCTGGAGTTTGAGAATGCTTGTTTCCTCGCATCCTTTTCAGCATTAGCTATTTCCTAACTTTAGTTTGCTTCTTTTATCAGTGAAAAAAAGATATTTCAGCGTCTTGTTGCGTGTATCTTTAATTACATATGACACTGAACAGAACCTTACTACTGACCATTTTTATTTCTTTATTTGTGAATAATCCATAATAACTTCACCTGTCTTTCTGTTGGCTTGTTGTGCGTGTGTGTGTGTGAAAGTTAATGGAATTTTTTTTTTTTCGTAATCTTTGGTGCTAGATGTGACTTCAAATTCCACAGTGAATGGTGACCTGGGACCAACACCAGACCAACTGCAGGGCAGCCTCACATTGTACTTCACATTCAGGAATGTTGGAAATAAAAAGCCAAACAAACATGGGAACAGATTTCCTTTTCACCCCTCGCTGTTGTTATCCAGTATATGGAATAAAATACACGACAGTGGAAGAGACAGGAAGCCAATGCTAGTCATGACGGGTCTGATGGATGGAAAAAAAAAAAGCATTTTCCTTGATAAGGTCAATCTCTCTCCATCGTGAATTCACCTTTGCATGCAGTTTCAAGAGGTAATAACAAGTTGGCCTGCGAGTGTTTCTTTGGAACAGGCTGCTTTGCTGAGACCTCAGAGGTGTTTGTTGTACAGGATGGATGATTTGCATTTGGCTATTTTATCCCTCAAGGTCTACTCTGGGAAACTGCCTCTTACCTTTTCTTGTAATGTTGGTGCCAGCAGGGCCTTTAGAGATTATTTACCAACAAAAATGAAGACCGGAGATGTTAGGTCACAAACTCAAGGTCACATTGTTGGTTAGTGACACTATAATAATGGCTAAAACTTATACTATGTGCTAGGTATTACTCTAAGCACTTTTCATATGACAACTCATTTAATTCTCATAATAACCTTATGTAGTAGTATCATTAACATTCCCATTTAACAGTTGAAGAAACAGGCCCAGAGAAGCTAAGTAACCTGCCCAAGATCACACAGCTATTAAGTCAGGATTCAAATCTGGAACTTTGGCTCCAGAATCTTGCCTGTAACTACTACACTCTATCTTTTCATTCAAAGTAAACCCCCTTCAAATGTACAAAAACACTGAATTTCCTCAAGAATGACATTATAATAATTAGAATGTTTTTCAAACTTTTCTTAAAATACGTTTTACCTCTTAGAACCCAATATACTCTCACATACAAGTACATTGTAATTGACAGGCAGTTTCCTTAAAATTAATTCTTATGCTGACTACAGGGGATAGATTCTGGTGTTGTGCCCTCTTCTCCTTTCTCTTGAAATCTTCTATCCTTTTTTGAAAAAAAATGGAGGCCAAAACTTACTTGTGAGTCATGATTTACAGATTGAAAAAAATTCTTCTTTAAACTACTCTTCTAGCTCTCATCTCTGTTATGAAAGCTGTTAGCGGTTTGTATATGTTCAATTACCATGCACACACACCACTCAGAGTGGGAAAGACTGTCAGATAATTTCTATCAAGCTTATTTCTGGTCAGGAGGTACTCACTGCACTCCCTGTAGTTCATGGCTAACGATGGTACACTGGGGCTTTAAGACAAATCTCCAAGCTATAATCTTAGGAAAATCTTCATTTACTCATTCATTCATC